ACTGCGGAAAGCCATTATCGCATTTACACCAATATCAGATAGAATTTGCAACCATAAGATTTAAAGGTAAATTTCATAACGTGACAATGGTTAATGTATATGCACCGACGGAAGAGGCTTATGAAGAAGACGTTGAAAGATTCTACGGAGAACTACAGGATGTATGTGATAAAATCCAAAGACACGATGCTGTTATAACGTTGGGCGATTTTAATGCTAAACTGGGGAAAGAAGAAACGTTTGCAAATATATTTGGGAAACACAGTTTGCACACTGAAACCAGTCAAAATGGACTCAGGGTGGCACAGTCCGAGCAGCAAATAATTACGTAGTTGTCAGTACTAACTTTCAGAGAAAAGATATCCATAAAGGAACATGGAAAATACCAGGAACTAAGGAAGCAAATCAAATTGACCATATACTCATCTCAAAAAGATGGGCAACAGACATAACTAATGTCAGAACGTATTGCGGGGCGAACTCTGACTCAGATCACTATCTTGTAGGGGCAAAATTACGGTAGAAAATAGCGACAGTAGCAAAAGGGAAAAATATTCAAATCAAAAAATGGAATGTCGAAGAATTCAAAAGCGCAACAAAGAGACAAGATTACAGAAATGCTCTCCAAATAAAACTCAACTGAACTAGAGAGGAAGATACTGCAGAGGAGGAATTTAGACAATTAGAAACAATTATAACAGAGTCAGCAGAGGAAACTGCCAAAAGGCAAAGAAAATGCGGAATGGTATGATGATGAATGCAGAACTGCATTAGAGGAAAAAAGGCAAGCTAGGCTTAACCAACTTCAAAGAAACACAAGAAATAGCAGTGAGATTTATAACGAAAAAAAGAATACAAGCGACTAGAATATGCAGAAGAAAGAAAAAGGAGGCTATGAAAAAACAAGTACAAGGAATCGTAAAGCATAACAACAGACGCGAAAGCAGAAAATTCTATAAATGCATAAAAGAAAGTACACAGTCATTTAGACCAAAACTAACGATATGCAAAGACAAGGACCGAGAACTACTAACAAATAAGCAAAAAATTATAATGAGATGGAAACAATATTTCGAAGAAAATCTAAATGCAGACAACGAAAATGATCAGAACGAGACAAAATATTATACGGCGGAGCTGCACATCGAAAATCCGAGTTATGAAGAAGTAGTTCAGATAATAAATAAAGTAAAAAACAATAAGAGCACCAGGAACGGACGGAATTTCGGCAGAATTATTAAAGCATGGAGGATCCGAACTCTGGGAAAGAATCCATTACCTAATAACATTAATATGGACGAAGGAGCAAATGCCAGAGGAATGGACAGTTGGCCTCATACAGCCAATATATAAAAAAGGAGATAAGAGGGAATGCCAGGAATTATAGGCCAATTACATTGCTAAGTAATATACAAAATTCTTTCTGGTATAATCTACAATAGATTATTAGAATACTCCGAAAATATAATTGGTGATTATCAAAATGGATTCAGACCAAATAGAGGCACTACAGTTAACATATTCATACTAAGAACGATACAAGAAAAAAGCTTATGAATACGACATGGACCTATATAATATGTATATAGACTTTAAACAATCTTTTGATAGTGTGAAAAGAGACAGAATGCTGGAAGACCTTATAATCTAGGTATACCTAAGCAATACATCAGCTTCATAAAAAATGACGTTGCAGGGTTCAAAAGCCGCAGTCAGAGTAGATTGAGAACTGACTCCCCTGTTTAACATCAACATGGGAGTAAGACAGGGAGATGCCCTATCAACCATGCTATTCAACCAAGTTCTTGAGGCAGTCATCAGAAAAACCAATATAACGGCCATATCAACACCAAATCAGTACAAATTACTGCATATGCAGACGATGTAGCCATCATTAGTAGAATAAGCCACGACTAATGGAAGTGTTTAAACAAATTGATCCTGAAGCAAGAAAAAGAGGTCTCAAAATAAACGAAAGCAAAAACGAAGTATATGACAGTCAAAAGAATAACTGACAATGAAAATAATATCACAATAGACAACTATACTATCGAACGAGTGGATGCCTTTACATATCTCGGCACAGAAATCAATCAGAAAAACTCCGTAAGTAGCCAAATTAATGCACGTATTTCCAGCGGGAATCGTACATACTATGCTAATAAAAGATTGATGACATCGAAATTATTAGACAAAAGAACCAAAATGACTATCTACAGAACACTGATTAGACCCGTAGTAACATATGGATGTGAAACTTGGGTAATGGCGAAAAAAGATGAAGCCCAACTCAGGACATTCGAGAGAAAAATACTGAGGAAAGTATAAGGTCCGGTACAAGAAGAAGATGGCACATGGAGAAATCAGGAGAAACGACGAGGGTTAATGAGTTAAATGAAGATTATGACATTGTTAAGATTTGTGAAAAGTCAAAGACTGTCATGGCTGGGACATGTGCAGAGACAAAACGATGCAAAAACAACAAAGAAAATGTTACAATGGAAGCCCATAGAAAGGCGAAAAAAAGGAAGGCCCAGAACGAGATGGTTGGATGACGTGGAAGACGACCTGAAAACAATCAACATAAGACAATGGAGAAGAAGGGCACAAGAGAGATCTGAATGAAAGGACATAGCCAGACAGGCAAAGACCCGTCCAGGGTTATGATGCCAAAAGAAGAAGAAGAAGAAGAAGGTGCTGCAAATTAGTATCAGTTATTCATTCTAATGTAAAAAGTTTTTTATTATTATTTTTTTATTTTCTTTAAGTATTTTTAACTTTTAAAGCAACATTTCCACAAATTTTATTATAGTAAATAAAAAATTATACATTTACATAGTTATTTATTATTTTAATAGAAAACAAATAAACATGAACAGTGCACTGGTAGCATATACAATATATTTTAAATTTAATTTGAAACAAAAAAAAATTATATTCTACATAAACAAACAAAATTTAACCAAAAATTAATACTAATTTTAAAAAACTAACCGGCACCGTCTGTACATCAACATATTTTATTGGAGACGAACGTTTTTCTCGTATTTGTCAATTTTACAAGAATAATATAAGTATTACTCATCTGTTGCTGCCAGCGGCAAAATTCGTTTCGATCGTTCATTCATAATTTTTCACAATTCTCTGGGAAAAAATTACCTGCTAAATAAATATACAACCAAACGATAATAATAAATCCGAGAACCCTAAAAACCGGTCTGTAAGGTTGAATGTCGGTCGGTGAACTATACTAAAACGGATCGATATGTATGTATCTATGTTTCAAATAAATATATATATTTTGGCAACATCTCGTGATACTGTATTGACGCAAGACACAGTGATTTGACCTATAGGGAGTTAAAATGTCTGTTGAGTGTAAAAAAATAAATATATAAAAAAATCGATATATTAAAAAACTGACAACAATGTCAAGCCTAAAAAGATACACTAAACGAATATACATGACTTATAATTTGAATATGATAGTATTTCTGGGTGATGCTAAATTACTGCAACGTGAAAAGAGTTCGAAATGATGGTGGGATGTATATATATATATATATATATATATATATATATATATATATATATATATATATATAGAAAGACCTGAGAGAGACCTACGTCCAACGTGTACGGGTTGATGACGATTATGACACAAAGTGCGTCGGAACGTTTTAGAGCGAAGGATTATATTTGTATATAGACTATGAGTGTTCTTTTTGATTGACATACGCTTTGATTAGCATCCAGTTAAGTATCCAAGAATTCTTCCTTTATATTCCTACTTTCTTTCACAGGCATCACATTATACGATGGTTGGTATTTATATTATGGTCTAGGCAACAGTAAGTATTGACAACTAAAATCTGATACTTGCACTGGAAATTTTAACATTCTTAATGATAAGCGCACTCAGAACGTTTTGATGTATGAGCAATATTTGTGTTAACGGTGGCTTGAAAAATTTGTCTCAACCCAAAAATGGAATTAAACCGTGACACTTCCGTGCGATATTTATGCAAAATCGATCTATCAGAAACAATCGACGCTGTGCGTGAACTGATAAAGCAAGATCATTATATGACATACCGTCAAATTGACACATCTCTGGGCATTAGTATGACAAGCATCAATAATATAATGCATGATAATTGGGCTGTAAAAATGATTCGTATAAATGGGATAGCGGTGCGTCAACTGCTGTGTATAATATCTACACAGGTGACGAAATATGTATCTGTGCATATGAGCCCTAAGTAAAGCAGCAAAAGACCATATGAGTGTTTCAGGATGAACTAAATGCAACAAAAGTTGTTCGTGGAAAAATCACAGCGAAACAAATAGTCGCTGGTTTCTTTGGTATAAATGGTCATGTAGCTACGGTGTCGTCACAAGAACGTAAGACGGTCAATTCTGAACGGTATACAACCATTTGTTTGCCAGAAGTTTTCAGTGAAATTTGGAAAAAGAATAAGAACAGATGCCGTCCTGATTTTGGTACCCAAAGACTTCATTTTATTCCCCCACGTCAAAAATAAATTACGTGGTCAACGATTTTCGACACCTGAAGAAGCGGTTGAAGCGTTCAAAACCCATGTTTTGGACATACCTCAATCTGAGTGGAAAAAGGTTTTCAAAAATTGGTTCAAACAAATGCCAAAGTGTATTAATTTTCATGGAGAATATTTTGAAAAGCAATAAAGCCATTTCCGACCATAAATTCTTGGTTTTCCCATTGTTAGGCCAGAAATATAAATAGCAACCTCTCGTACCAGCTTAAAACTGTTTAAAATCTGTTTAAAAATAAATAATACAAAAATAGAAAAGTCAATAACATATCGGTATGCAAATATGTACATGTGTTATAAACGTTAACTGAGGTTAAAAAATATACTCTGTATGTTAATATATTTTATTATAGAATTTACAAAATTAGTTTTAATTCTTTAGGAGTACAAGGTATTAAATTTTAATGCTTTTGATTTTTTTTTCAGAATTATTTCCTACCATAAAGAGACCAAAGGACTACAGTTTAAAACATTTATTTAACCAGATAATGATGCCACTTCGTTGTTAAAGTGTAATAAATACACAAAAATAAAAGCCATATATTTTATTTGATTTTCTAAATATATCATCCCCACAAACGATTTTATATTATTTATTGATTAAAAAATATTGACCATATATAAAATAAGAATATATAAAATTGACCATGTACTAATTGATAGTCGACATTTCTCGGACGTACTAGTAAGAGCATGTAGAGGTGCTAATATAGACTCTGACCACTACTTTGTAAGGGCCGTATATCAAACGCTAAGAAAGGCCAGAGCACAAAATCTACGAAATATAATACTGATGTGCTAAAATTTGGAAGAAACTAGAGATAACTACAGGCAAAAATAACAAAGCCCCTGGTTTGGACAATCTTTCTGCCGAACTCTTTAAAAATTGGTGGAGACACCCTTTGTAAATACATGCATAAATTAGTAACCGAAATCTGGCAACGGAAGGAAACGCCCGCAGACTGGAAATGAAAAAGGGGATACAAAAAGTATCCATCTCTCTTCACAAAAAGGGAGATATGATGGTGTGTGATAATTATAGAGGCATCACCCTACTTAACGTGGCATATAAAGTATTGTCCAACGTATTGTACAGAAAATTGATCTCCTATGCTGAACAAATAGTTGGAACTACCAGTGCGGTTTCCGATCCAAAAAATCAACAACGGATCAAATCTTCACAGGCAGATTCTTGAGAAAACGCTTGAGTTCGGAGTTGAGACTCACCACATATTCGTGGATTTCAAAGCCGCATACGACTCAGTCAAGAAACAAAACTTCTACATGCTATGGTGGAATTTCAAATGCCGCTTCATCTTGTTCAACTAACGGAACTTACTCACAGGCGTAGAGAGTGTAGTCAGAATCCAAAACGACTTTTCAAGACCCTTTCATTGTAAAAATGGGACTGAGACAGGAATATGGACTGTCGTGTCTCTTATTTAACCTTGCGCTAGACAAAGTAATTCGAGAGTGCCATATTAATATGAATGGATATCATCTTTATGGAAGGTGTGGACAACTTCGTTTACCTGGGCTCGCTGCTGACCAAAGACAACAATGTCAGCAAAGAAATTAAAAGAAGAATAGTGCTTGCCAATAAGTGCTATTATGACTTGAGGAAACAGATGGCCCTAAAACTACCCAGAAAACCTAAAGTGACTATATATAAAACACTAATAAGGCCAGTGTTAACATACGGGTCAGAAACGTGGTCACTTATACAGAACGACCAAGAACTGCTTAAACGTTTCGAGAGAAAAATTCTAAGGAAAATATATGGAGGAGTCCAAGAACACGGTTTGTGGCGTAGGCGCTACAACTGAGTTATATAGAAGTTTTGGGGAACGTAACGTTGTAAAATGTATTAAATTAGCACGCCTTCGATGGATAGGACAAGTAAAAATTTTTGACCGAAGAGGACCAGTGGGAAGACGAGTCAGAGGAAGACCAAAACTTAGGTATCAAGATAACATAGAGGATGATCTAGAATCATTCGGAATTAAAGCATGGAGAAGAGTTGCCAGAGAGAGGGGCGAATAGATTATTGTTCTGAAGAAGGCTTTGGCTCATAACGAGCTGTAATGCCACTGATGATGATGATGATGATGATTGATTAAAAAAATATTTATCGCGAAATTACAACATCTAAAGGTGTAAGATTTTTTTCAAAAAATTGTATACTAAAAAGAGCTTTAAGTCGAAACATGAAATAAAGCATCTCTGTGATTATATTAATATAGTACAATTTGCATTTTTGGTCACAAAACCATTCTTATACCTTAAAAGGCATAAAAAGTTACTAGTAAGTACAGTTTATGTTCAACTTCTTTAGTTTTTACCAAATTATTTTGAATCTAAAAGAATCACAAACATTCGATACAAGTTTTTTTACAGTTGAAGAAAGTGCTAACAAGTTGTGATATGAAAATTCCAGTTCGACGCTATGCCTTTAGTATTCGCTTATACGGTATAAGATATTAGGACTTTAATGATTGCCCTATTTATTAAACCGAAAGCTTATGAAACGGGAATAAGTAAGACAGTTAGTAATCTGTAGCTCTCTACAAAACGAATTACAGAAATCTGTTTCAGTGTCAAGACTATAATTTCACCACTGACAATCAATCTGTACTCAAAGCACATTATTTATCTAAAAAATAATCATGAAGGCATCTCAATAAACGGAGTCAATAACCTGCGGTAATCAGATGATACAATAGTATTTTCCAATATCATAGAAGAGCTGCAAAACTTCTTCTTAAGGTGCCTTCTCCATTACTGAAGGTTGGCTATAACTGCAAAATTGCTCTCTATCTTGAGCTGTTCTTAGTATGGAATGTGTGTCAATGCCTGTCCAGTCTCTTACATTCTTCAACCAGGAGCATTTTCCTGGACCTCTTCTTCCTTTCACTTTCCCTTCCATTATATGTCGTAGGAAGTTGTGTTTTTCTCCTCTGTAAATATATCCTAGATAACTCGTTTTTCTGTTTTTTTTTTTACAATATTTAGGAGTTCTCTCTCAGTACCCATTCTTCTTAGCACCTCGTTATTTGTCACGTGCTCTGTCCAAGAGATCTTCAGCATCCTTCGAAAAACCCACATATCAAAGGCTTCCATACTCCTCATACTTGTATGAGTTTATTAGGATTTTTTAATTCGTTGACATGCGGACCTAGCATATTCTATACGAGCACGTATTTCGACCTCGTGGTCAAGGTCGTTTGTAATCCAGCAACCAAGATACTATAATCTTTGTACTTTTTCTATATGTTTGTTATAAATACAAATATTAATGTCAACATTTGGTGCACGTGTAACAGCCATTACTTTTGTTTTATTTGTGTTTATATTTTTTAGTCCCAAGCTATCTCCCTCTATGGTTATGACATTCAAAAGTCATGATTGCGTTTTAATTAGGTTTTCGTTTGTTTTTTTTACTTTTAGTGTTTTTTACTTGGCTATTTTATTTTTTTATTTATTTACAGACGAGGATAGAAAGTTTTATACAAAAATCTGAAAGGCGGCTATTTACAAATTTCCTAGACAAGTTTTCTGTTGGATGGACCGCTGGCACGGTTTGACGATGGAAGACATTCGTACAATAGAAGATAAAACAAAAGAAGAACTAGAAGCTCTCCGTCAAAAAGGTGAAGTACGCGGTATGAAGGCCGATACCAAATAAATAGCCAAGTAAAAAAGAGTCAAAGTAAAAAAAATCAAAAGTCGTTGTAAATCTTCAGCACTGTAAGCAATAACGACGGTGTCGTCTGCGTATCTCAAGTTGGTTACGTATTCTACGTTGATTTTTATTCCTTCTTCAGTATTTTCGAGGGCCTTTTGAAATATCTTTTCGGAATATATATTAAATAACAGTGGAGAAAGTAGACAGCCCTGACGAACTCCTCTGTTTATTAGCAATTCTGCTGTCAAGACAATTGTCTATTTTGATCGACGCCATTTGATCCCGATATAGTTTTTTCATAAGTGCTACAGTGTTATGGTCTATACCATGTTGTGTAAGTATTTCCTATGAGTTCGGTGCTTGTTTTACCACGATCAAACGCGCTTTTTCGTAGTCGATAAAACAGAGAAACACGTCTTTTGCGCTGATCTCGGCATTGTTTGTAGTAATATCTGGGGGCCAAATAATGCCTCCCTTGTACCAAGCCCCTTACGAAAATCCAAATTGACTGTCGCTCAGGTTTCTTTCGCATTCTCTGTATATTCGGTTGATGTACAATTTTCGAGTAAAAATTTTCAGAAAATGGCTCATCAGGCTAATTAATCTAAACTGTGAACATTTCTATTGGCTTTATTGTTTCTTGGGTATAGGTATAAATGTCGATCTAAGCCAATCTTCTGGGAAGATTCTAGTGGTATATATTTTGTTAAATAATATTGTTAACATCTGAAGATTTTCTTCATTTATAAGCTGCAAAACTGAATGAACAAAATAACGGAAACAAGTAGAACATATGGATTGGATACAAAAACCAGCAAAACCAAGCTAATGATCATCAGAAAGGAAAACATGGAGCAAATATGTACGTGAACCAAATGAGAATTGAACGTGTTTCATAGTACAACTACTTGGGAACTATAATCAATGAGTCGTGGGACAACACTCAAGAGATTAAATGTCGCATCTGAAAGGCAAAAAGTGCATTCTTGACTATGAGCTCTGTGTTCAAGACCCAGCATCTCGCCCTAGAAACAAAAATAAGGCTCCCTAAATGTTACGTGTACTCAGTGCTTCTGTACGGAGTAGAACCGTGGACATTGAGGCGGAAACTCTATCAAAACTTCAGGCTTTTAAGATATCCTTATACAGAAGGATCTTGAAGATACCACGAAACAATGTCACCAATGAAGAAGTACTACCGAGGATGAACACAGCCACGGACTTGGTTAACATCGTGAAGGGTCATAAGCTGCAGTATTTGGGACATTTAATGAGAAATCAAGGCAGATATGAGCTACTCCAATACATTTTGCAAGGTAAAATTGAAGGAAAAAGGGACACAGGACGAAGAAGAATATCCTGGCTTGCTAACCTGAGAGCATGGTATAGAAAAACCTCAACACAGCTATTCGTATAGCAACCAACAAAGTCATCATATAATTTAGATACAAACTTTATATTAGATATATACAAACTTCTAAATAGAGCTAAACTAAAAATTGCAGAAAAGCTTGCATATTCATCACAGTTTTTTCAACCTAATGCTTCAGATAACATCAGATATTTACCTTCACTTATATTAGTAGCATTTCCAATAAAATATCTAAACTTTTTTACTTCGTACAATTGATAACATCAAAATTTCCTTTAAATCACATAACACTTTAGGTTACCTTCTTAATCAATACCAAAGATAGGATGAATACACTTGATAAAGTGGTATTTACAAATTAAAATGTGTGATTGTGATGCCTTTATGTAGGTAGAACTATCAGAAAGTTATCCACTAGAGTCATCTGAACATTTTGAAAAAACCAAATTCTTCA